CCATTTGCACCCTATAGCTCTACTTCCCTTAGGCAAATCCGTCAACTCCCATGTCTGATTAGACATTATGGACTCTAGTTCACTGTTGATTGCCTCCTTCCAGAAACTTGCATCAACTGAGCTCATGGCCTCTTCATATGTTTTTGGATCTTCATCCATAACTTGAAGGCACACCATGATCTCATCTAGGTCCTTGACGTCCTTCATCTCAGTTAAAAAAGTGGTGAGAAAATCTGGACCAAAATTCGTTTCTGTTCTCTGCCTCTTGCTTCTACGTGGTTGGTCACTCTCCTTTTGAGTTGGAGGCGACTCCACTGTCTCTGTGGGCATGACATCTAAAGTAGGCATGTTAGTATCAACAACTTTCAACAAAGGAAATACTTGTTCGAAGAACTCTGCATCACGAGATTCGCTTATGGAATAGTCATCCAAACTCATGAATCTGTACGCTGCGCTTGACTCTGCGTAGCCCACCATTACTGCATCATATGTTCGTGAGCCTACCACCGATCGTTTTTCAAACGGATAACCCACCTTTGCAAGGCACCCCTACACTTTTAAGTAAACCAGGTTAGGAGCGTAACCATTCCATATCTCATAAGGAGTTTTATCCAGCTTCTTGTGTGGTACTCTATTGAGAATGAAGTTTGTAGACAAGATTGCCTCACCCCACATGTTGTCTGGTAGGCCCGAGCTAATTAACATGGAATTCATCATTTCCTTAAGAGTTCGATTTTTCCTTTCTGCTACTTCATTCTGCTATGGAGTGTATGGAGCCGATACCTCATGTATGATGCCTTCACTTTCACACACGCTTTTCAGGAATGTAGACCCATACTCTCCTCCTCTGTCGGATCTAACTCTTTTGATTTTTCGTTCCAGCCGATTCTCTGCCTTGAAGATTATGAACTTTGTTTCTGCCTCATCTTTGGTTCTCAGTAGATAAACCTCACAATATCTCGAACAATCATCTACGAAGGTCACATAGTAACGTTTACCACCCTTGCTCTCTATGGATTTGAAGTCTGCCAAATTTGAGTGGATCAACTCTAGTAGTTCAGTTACTCTCTTCGTTACTCTCTTCGTTACCTGCTTATAAGGTTTTTTCACAAACTTTGCTTCAGCACATACACTACACTTGTCATGTCCATCGACTACCATGTTAGGAAGTAAGTTCATTTCCTTCATTCTCTTTAATGAAGTAACACCTACATGTCCTAACCTATCATGCCATAAATCTATTGACTCAGCAATATAAGCAAAAGAAGTTTTCTTATTCATTTCCGAGTCAATGACAATTTCAAGTACAAACAAGCCTCCATTAAGGTATCCCTTCCCAACATACTCGCCATTGCGAGTTAAAACTAGCTTATTTGCCTCAAAAACTAATTTAACCCCCACTTTGTTCAACAAAGCCCCAGAAATTAAATTTCTACGTAGTGATGGAACATACAAAACATTGTGCAAAGCTAAGGATTTCCCAGAGGTGAGCTTGAGGACAGCCTTTCCTTTGCCTTGGACTTCACAGCTGCTTGAGTTCCCCATGTAGACTTGCTCTCCTTTATCGGCTTTTTCAAACTCTACGAACATGTTCCTGTTTGCACAAAAGAGACGAGAAGCCCCGGTGTTTACAATCCATTCAGCATTATTCTCAACCAAGTTGATCTCGCAAATCACCGCAGCAATAATGTCTCCCGATTCTGCAACATTTGCTTCACTCTTAATTTTCTCTTTCGATGAGCCTTTTGGTTCCCCTTCTTATGACGACACTTAGCAGCAAAGTGTCCTGGTTTACCACATACAAAACAGTTACCCAAAGCTTTCTTCTCAATCTTGCCTTTCTTCTGAAATTTCCCTTTCTTCTAATTGTTGCCTTGATTGTTGCCACTTGAGTTCTTGTCAGCATTTGCATTAGACTCCACAAGATTAGCTTTCACAGAAAGTTTATTATTCGGCTTCCTTGAGGAGTCCTTGAGCCTGTTAGCCTCCTCAATCTTCATGTGACTTATCAGCTCCTCGAGGGTCATGTCCCTTTTCTTGTGTTTCAAATGGTTTCGATAGTCAGACCAAGATTCAGGCAATTTCTCAATCAAGACATTAGCTTGAAGAATCTCACACATCTTCATACCTTCAGCAAGAATATCAGCAACCAAATTTTCATACTCATGAACTTGGTCCATGATGGGTTTGGAGTCCACCAACTTAAACTTCAACCAGTTTCCTGTAACATATTTCTTTTTCCCTGCGTCATCTACACCATATTTCTTTTCTAGGGTTTCCCAGATAGATTTTGCAGATTTGTTTGTGATAAACAAGTCAAAGATGTTGTTTATCATATTATTCAGCAAATAACCTCTAATAAACTTGTTATCTTTCTCATACTTCTTGATTTTAGTTTCATTCACAATAACACGGTTGGTCTTAGGAGGAGGACCAGATCCAGGGGTATTAAGAATTGTCACAGTAGTATTATTTTGTTCAATAGGTTTAGGAGCATCATTAAACAAAACATAATCAACTTCAATTTGTTCAAAGGCAATCAACAACCTTTGTGACCATCTCTTATAATTAGTGCCATCAAGAGATTCAAGTTTCGATAAATCAAGGTATAAACGATTTTGAGAACTACTAGCCATGATAACAACAGAAAATACGCTTCTAGATTGTTGGAAATAATCTGTTGCAATAAAAAATAATAAGTACAAGGAAAGATGTTACTTTGAATGTAGATCTCAATACGCTGTGACACGTTTTACGGCTGCCCTAGAAGCGTATTTCGCCACCACCGGTACGAGATTCTCAATGACGAATGCTCCCCAAAGGTAACACAACGATCCTTCAAATCCGTACCCCGAATGAAGGATTGGAATTATATCAAGAACTGCTCAGATCTCCTTTGGAGGTTTAGGGTTTTTGGCCTTTTGTTTGTAGGTTTATTAATTTTGTGTGTGTATCAAAGTTGCAAAGGTTTGATATATATATAGGTTATGTGAAGAAATCAAAATAAGGAAATAAAATCCCGTGAGAAAAACGCGTTCTCGAGTCCTTGCCCGGTCGGGCAAAGCCCGCCCGGTTGGGCGCGAAGAACACAGGGCAAAAAAACCCGGTTTTTGGCTCCGCCCGGTCTGACCGGGCAAATCGGCCCTACCGGGCGCGCGAGGTTGGAAAGCTGCAAAGTTGTTCGAAGCTTTGCCTGGTCTGACCTGCAAGTGGGAAACTTGAAAGTACGGAGTTAACTAGTTTGATGAATAGCCTACTTCTCTTCGCCCTACCCCCCGCCCTGCCAGGGCAAGCAAGAAAAGAAACTTATCATCAAACATAGCTTAATACAATCGAATCTTTCGACTTGCATTTCTCCCAACATTATTGACTGAAACTTAGAGTTTTTTGCATCTTCTGACTTGTTCTCTATCTATAACAATCACAATAATGTACTACATCCATTCAAATATACTAGTAGTTGCAAATCAATGATTCAAACACTTTCAAAAGGAGCATGCTATAATCATGAGAGAAATCGCGGTACCTCTTCCATGACATTGATTACAATCAACTCTTCCACTTCCACCACAAACAACACATGCCGGCTCCGGTTTTCTTTTTTTCTCTATCCGAACATTCGACTGCGAAACAACAACAGGGGTTTTCTCTATTAATTCCATTACTAATATATCTGTCTACAGCCAATTTACTAATTCAATGTCAAAATCAACAAGTATAGTCTAATATGGGTACAATTTATTTATTTTTTTAATGGGAAAATCTAACGAAGGGTCCAAACCCAAAACCCATAAATTGAATATTAATTCTATTAAGATTATCAATTAACAACATGATGTTCATTCAGAAAATATTACATGAAACAAGAAACTTCAAATCTATAATTGAATGAACTGCATAAAATACAAACTGAATTGAACCCAGAAAACAGATACATATAGAGAGAGAAAAGGATTAACCTGGGTGCGGACGATGAGGGAAGGTTTGGGGATGGAAAGAAGATGGGAGTTTGCAGAGTTAGATTGTGATTTTCGAGGAAGAAAATCGTCTGAGTTTCCAGATGTTGAACTTGAAGAAGAAGTTGATAATGCTACAAGTGTTATTCTTGGCATTTGAAATGCACCCACCATTCTTTCTCACTCCACTCGTCAACTGCTATTGCTCATTTTGTTTTGTTTTTGGTTATAGGGCTCTTCTCATCGTTTGATGGTTTCAGTAGAGCCGTCGAGGGATACTTGCACTCAAGAAGTATCCAGATTTTACGTCTATTGTCCAAGCAAAACTTGACTCAGTTGTAAAAATTTAACCTTAAATTCTAGTGTCTTAGTGTTTTACGTTTCAAAAGGTAGAATCCTGGGAGGGAGGGTTTCTCTAATCTCAACCTCACCCTATATTCAATTATCCGACCCGCAAATATCAAATCATGAGGGTTGAAGTATGGCGAGTGGCGAGAACTACAAGCTTAACTAGGGCATTCTTGTCAAGATAAAAGATTTTACGGTCCCATGTTCAAAAATTGTCTTAAAGGGTCACAATACATGCACCAATGTACAATTTATGATACTCCATATTCTTTCTCACACCTTTGTGAAGAATTACATGAAAGTTTACTTTATTAGGCATAGAGAGAATTGTGTGTTGTCACAACCGAATTAAAACTAGGTTTTCATAGTCCTCTTTTATTTTGAGTTAGGTTGAGGGTCTGTTCTCATACGACTATTTTTAGTTCAGTTCAGTTTAATTTAGCTCATAATTCCTTCCCTTATAAAATATTCATATCAGTTCACTTTAATCAATGAGAACCCGCCCTGATTCGACTAGTTTTCATGTATAGGGAGTTAAGGACAACTTTATTTTTCTTTCCTATTCAAAAGTCAAATACTACCTCCGTTACATATTATTTGCAAGTAGCAACGATTAGACATTTTTCCTCTCTACTTTATGTCAAATCGTTGTAAATAATATGTAACGGAGGTAGTAAATCATATGCTAAAAATGACATGTTCCTTTCTCATTGCCATTTGCCATCACAACGACTCATCTTCCTCCCAAGTCACGACCCCAAACCCCAGAAGCCCGCTGGTTTTCCTCAGTAAATTGAAGTGATGCTGAATTATTTGAAGGTAAAAGTTACAATTAAACAAATTCAATTCATACTTTCATGATTCCATTCATATAATTATTCTGAGTGCATTCCATTTTCTTGTATTTTGTATGTCCACTGATGTTATCCAAATTATGACCCCTGCTTTTTCACTGAATTATCAGTTCTTCAATTATATAAATTTGGTTAATTGTTGCTTTATATATGTTCTCTGGTTTAAATTTGAATTATAGATTCATGAAAATGCATAAAAAGAGGTTTAGGAGGGCACTTAGCAGCTAATTGCTTCAGAGCATTGCCCCCATTAACCCCCTTCCCATATTTGGTGCTATTATAAGGGGTAGAGCCTATCTTAAATTTAGTTTGTTAATTTCAATGTTAAGGAAGAAAACCCAGAATTTTCATGCTAATTGATGATTTCAATGTTTGCTAAAATGGCTCACTGTTATAAATCTAAGATGCAACTTGCTTGATTATATGATATGCTAGTATTTTATGAAGTTTTTAACAGTGTGACCCTACATAGTTAAGTGACCGGAAAGTTGAGTCGAAAGCGTGAGCTCTTACAATAGGGGCTCTTAGAGTGTATCTTAGTACGAATTTGTAGGAATGCTATATAAGGGCTAGTAAGCACGGCTAGGGAGGTACTACATAGGATGATGCATAACTTTTCTTGCTGCCACCATACTATGGATGAACCCGTTAGTGCACATAGATGCAAGGATGGGGAACCTTGAGAGATTGTTGTATTGCATGATTGCCTTAGCAGTCTTGTTTTCCTTAGATTGCCCTTTGGTCTCGTTACCTTGCTAGATATGTCGCTAACTTTGTTGCCTAAAAATAATGGTGATTTACTTCATAGTTTCAACCTTCAAGTTTTGCTGAGTTGTTGAAAGTCTGTGATCTTGTAGAGTACTCCCTAACCAAGCGTGAGAAAAATGAATCTTCTCTCTCTAGGAGCTTTGATGGGGAATCATATTCTGCAATCCTTCCTGTTTTTGCCAAAACAAACTTTCTAATAATTATCTTGGTATTTTATTAACCTCAAAGAATTTCAAAAAAATCTGATGTCAAAAAATAAATTTTAAAAAAAGGGGCCTTGAAAAATACCATCACTGAGGACGAGAACTAAATCACTATCAACAACTGTGTGTATTCTGTGAGCTATTGTGACAATTGTTTGTTCTCTGAATTCTTGGTTGATAATTTTCTGAATTACACCATCAGTAGCAGAATCGACTGATGCAGTTGCTTCGTCTAAAACCAAGACACTACTGTGCTTTAGTAGTGCCCTTCCTAAGCAGAACAATTGTCTCTGTCCAACACTCCAATTTTCACCATTTTCAACCACTGAATACAATAAATTCGATTTTTTTAGCAAAAACAATCTTTAACTCCTTTTTTCTGAAAAAGTTTGATGTATTCACCTGTGGATTCCAATCTTCCTTCCTTAGCCCGTACAAGGTCTCCTAGTTGGCATTTGTCTAGTGCCTAAGAATTGTAGAACGGGGTTTTACTGATTAACTTTCATATCTACCTATGAAAACAAAACAATAAAGCAATTTATTAAATTATATTACCTCCCATATATCATTGTCGGAATGCTGTTGGAGTGGGTCAAGGTTTATTCGAACTGTACCATCAAACATTGTTGGATCCTGCGGAATGATGCTGAGCCTTGATCTCAAGTCATGAAGACCTATCTTACAGATATCTACATCATCAATTATAATGCTCCCCTCCGTTGGCTCCACAATGCGGAACAAAGCTTGTATAAGTGTTGATTTTCCACTGCCTGTTCTTCCTACCACACCAATCTTCTTCTTCCCTGGTAATGTACATGTTATGTTTTTCAGGACGGAGGGAAGATGTTCAGCATAACGTATCTGCAGCATCATGATATTGGGACTGATTATTATCACTTTATCAGAGTTATGAATTTTCTGCAAATTAGTATTCATAATGATTTCACTAAACTGCCGTGGTTGCTCCTTATATCTCACAAATCTAGCATGGTTGCTTTTGACTTGGAGATTAACATTGAATATTAAGAGTGGGTAGAAACAAACAGAAGTATTCTACAGTGTTTGCTGAAAGCTAAAGATGGTGGGTAGAGAAAAAAAAAAAAAGAGTAAGATATAGTGACTTGAGAAATAAATAGTACTCGTACTAAGAACAAGCAGGTAGAGAGAAAATGCCATAGATAGAAAGTGCAATGTGTATTCTGGGACATTCAAGTAGAAACCATACAAGTTTTTGTGGGGCAGAGGAAGTTGGACTTTTAGCTCAATTAAAACTGCAGCAGCTTACCTTTAAATTCTGGAAAGTGGTTATTCCAGTAGTTGGCCAGTTTTTTGGTGGTCTGCAATTGTCAATGATCAGGGGTGCTTCACTATTAAGCTCTGTGTACTGAAGAACCCTTTCCACTGAAATCATCTTATTTTCCACATTGCATATATTCCATATGAGTGAAGCTTGCATAACATTCAAATTTATTCCATATGTCACTGCCAGACCTGCAATGCCTGCAAAAGATTCCAAAACACATTAGCTTTTCTTCAATTATAATTTGGTGTACCTCATGTAGTTAGCTGTATGGGATGATGATATTTTCAACAATCAGTTAAAGTAGATCTTATTTGTCAATTCACAATTTCTAATTAGTTTGGTAAAGAGGAAGTACACAGGTAAGTTGAACGAGTTTCAGATCGATTTCTCAGGTAAAGTCTCCTAGAGGCTTTTCTAGTATGGTTTTTTTCCATGCATATAGAAAAGTCTTAATTACTAGACAATTCAAATTTTGTATTCATTCTAGATTTGCTTATCAGATTGATCAAGAATACTTACTTGGATTTATAATTCCATCTGGAAGAGACACTAGCAGAACCAATGAAAATGCAAACACTAAATTAGATAATTGATTGAGTCTGAATGAAAGCCACTCCATTGCTGATACATTGTGAAACCATGCTCTTGAATATCCATCTACTAATACAAGGTTTGCATTGATAAATCGCTCCTTATGGTCAAATGCACGTATTGTTGCTGCCCCTGAAAGTGATTCTCCAAAATGATGTAGGATTGGTGACTTCTGTATTTCAGATAATCGTGCTAGTTCCCTTGCAGTTGGTATGTAGTATTGCTGCAAGAAATATCACTACATTCATGATTGTAATAATCTTCTTAAGATCATCTTTGTAAAAATTCTGTATTATTAAGCACTGCTTACCTTATACCATATGCAGATTACTGTTACTGGAATGAAGATGAGAAAGACCTCCCATGCGACCTGTGACATGACTGCAATGGTTCCCAGAAGCTGGATCATTGAGAAAGCTGCCAAAAACAATCTTTGTGCCATTTCCAAGTCCAATAATACACTTTGGTCAGATGATGCCTGCATAAGAAAGTAAGTGTTAAATTTAACATATAATTGCGATTTTTCTTTTTGATATACAATTGCCCTTGATTGTTTTTGAACATAAATCTCTTAGTTGAATTTCATAACTCAGAAGGTGGAAATGGGTTAAGTAAATGCTTATTTAATTTAAAAAGGTGGAAATCTCTTAGTAAATGAACACAAGCAAAAGGTGAATTAAGCATACCAAATAAGGAAATGGTGCAATAATATGCAACTTCCCAAAAAGGAAAATGGTGCACTTAAAAAAAAATGCAGGAAGTGATTCTCAAATGATTTGAGTGCCTATTCAGTACGTTGACTAATTCTTACCCTATTCAGTATTCTTCCTGTTGGAGTTGAATCAAAAAATGACATTGGAGCTCGGAATACACTGCGTAGCATATTCTCAAAGAGTTTTTGTGCAGTAGAAAGGCCTGCGTATGCTGATACTGATGCCCGTACTAAGACAAAAAGCGAGCTTACAATAGAAAGAAGGGCATACACAAGTAAGACATAGTCCATTTCAGCTATTGGTGTAGCATCACCTGTAGTTGGACAAGCCCATGCCATCCAGTAATTACTTGCTATTTGCAACACTTGAAAAGATGACTGGGCTAAAAGTATCACCGGAATCAAAATACCATGTTTCACCGTGGTAAGATAAGCCCAATAAACTTCCTTCCCTATACTTCCTATCTTTCTTTCTTCATCCTGTATCAACCTCCCTTCCTTCTCTTTCATTTCTGGAAAAAGGTTATCCTCTTCTTCATCCCTTGTTTGAATTTGTTCAGCACTTGAATGTCCATCTTGTGGTAAAGGGCTTTGAGTTCTATCAGAAGCACCTTCAACAGTAAGAACAGATTCTAGAGCTTGACTATGAGCTCTAACCAGAACTTCAAACCCGATATTCTGTTTCAAAAGTTCCTTAAAACTTCCTGCTTCTGCAATTCTTCCATCTTGCATCACCTGTTCATAAGAAATTCCCTCATGAATTGGCATATCTAGCTGAGATAGTGCATAAAACATTGCTGTGATAGCGTACCAGAATGAGGTCTGCTGCTGGTAGAAATTCTACTTGGTGGGTGACATAAAAGATGGTCTTGTCTCTTAGAACCTCCATCAAACATTCCTGTTTATTGGGAAAAAGAACACTTGTAAGAGAATGAAGTAATCACTATGTAAGACTCAAAGAGTTAAACAGTATATGTGCTTACCTGAAAAAGATGTGTGCCTGTATGTGCGTCCACTGCACTAAAAGGGTCGTCAAACAAATATATATCTGCATCCTGGTATACTGCACGAGCAATTTGTATCCTTTGTTTCTGGCCTCCGCTCATATTAATACCTCTTTCTCCGATATCTGTTAAGTCACCTTGTGGGAAAAGCTCAAAATCTTTTAATAAAGCACATGCTTTGACTGTTCTGTCATACTTGGCTGCATCATAATGATTCCCAAAGAGTATGTTCTCTTTAATATTTCCTGACAGTATCCACGGGGTTTGAGGAACATAAGCCTTAGAACCGCTAATCTTCACCGTCCCGGAAATCTTAGGAATTTCTCCAATTAAGCCAGATAGCAAACTGGATTTTCCTGATCCTACAGTTCCACATATTGCTACTTTCATTCCCCTTGTGACCTGCAAGTTTATTTTATCTAGGGTGGAAGTTCCTGAAGTAGGATCCCAGCTGAATTTCCCCCCTTTTAAGTCTATGGCGTAGGGTGTTTTATCTTTTGAAACAAACTCGATTGCAGCTTGCTGAATTTCTTCTCCTTGGAGGTAAGAAGAAACCCTGTCTGCTGATACTTTAGCTTGTGCTACAACAATGAGCAAATCTGGCAGACTATATATGGGATCTTGCAACATACGAAAGGTTGCCAATGCTGATAATACGCTACCTGCTGTGAGTGGAATTCCCATTAGAAGACAAGCTCCAAAAGTTATTATAGAAATAAAGGTAGGTGAACCCCAGAAAATGAAGGCTCCAACCGCCCCTAGTCGCAATGACTTCCATATACAAGAAGACTCTATGTTTGGTAAACTTTCTAGCTTATGAAGAAATTGATTGTCCCATGCTTGAAGTTTTATTGATTTTATGTTAAACAGGATTTCTGAAGTGGCTTTCATCCTAGCATCTTTAGCATCCATGATCTTTAACTGGTATTTTTTCTGTGTTTTTGTTAGAGGTATGTTGCAAGACATAACAACTAAAGTCGCTGCTAATCCTGCAAATGACCCCAACCCTAGACTTGTATGCAGAACATAGATGGCTAACGATACTTGTACTGGTAACATCCATATTGTGTTTACATGCCATGCAAAATCTGCGATTCTTTGTACGTCAACACTCATGTAGTTGATTATCTCTCCACTGGTGTGACTCTGTTTAGCTTGACATGACAAGACTAAGCCCTTTTGATATATCTGTGTTATCAAAGCATTTCTAAGTTGAAGCCCTAGTTGACGAGCCCCAAAGATCCATTGCCTTTGTGATATTGTCTCCACCACTTTGGCCCCTAGAAAGCCTAGAGCAAGGAGATAGCCAGTTTTTAGGCTGCTGTGTTTCTTGTCACTGAGGAAAACCACAAAATCGTTGATTAGGTATGGACCAACATATGAAGAAAAGGCACTTATTACCGCAAATAAGGCATTTACTGCTGCTCTTTTCCATGCTAATTGGAAAATTGCTTTATACACGGATGTGCTATTGGTGATTCCTTCTTCTTCTTTGGCTTGTTTTAGGTTTTCATTGAAGCAATGAGAGAGAAAAGCAGCAGAGTCTTTCACATCAACATCTGGGATCTCATCCTGCTCAAGTGGCTTCTCTTTCCCCATGACAAACAATGGGTTGAGCCATGAGAAGGTAACAAGATCAAGAAGAGTTGCTTTGCTGTAAAGTGACTCACGTTTTCCTTTAAATTTATATCCAGTTTCTCCATTGAGAAGTGGTTCTGTCAAATTGCTTCTTGCGTTGTCATGCGTTATTCTCATCTTCCCTTGAATGGAAATTACCAACAGGCTGACTGATGCAAAGAGGCCGAGAAAATCTGCATACTCTTGAATTCTAAGCTGATATTGTCTAAAACTATAAATGTTATGGAGTTTTTTTTTTTTTTTCAACTGTGAAAAAACATTAAAACATGAACTTTTGGAGATGAAGGGAAGTATACTTCAATACAAGCGCGTTTGGCCTTGCCGTAGTTACATAATAAATTAAAGGAAGCAATACAGTGCATTTGGCAAAACAACTCATCTTGATCACCACAAATAACGCAACTTAAAAGAGCAAGCAATATAATCAAAGAGAACTTACTTGCTGCAAGAAAAGAGTAGGGCATGATTCTCCTCTAATTATGAGGCCTTTTTTTTTTTAATTAATGTTTGATGAAAATGTTTGAATGAACTATAAATAATTCTAAACTCCTAATTCAAAGGACTAAAAAGAAGCTCAAGAGCATAGTATTGTAAGCAATATATAGTGGAAATTGGAAAGAAAAAGAAAGAAATTTTATATGATCAAGTGGAATCCATGTGGTATATATATTCAATAAATGGTGTGTGTTAGTGTGTAATTAACTATGACTCCGTTTTTTCTTCGTTTCATTTAGAATCTTAAGATATTCAAATGAATATGTAATAGGGTATAATACTTTAAAGTCTCTTGTAATACCGAGTATCTTGTTAGTTTCATCTTGATTTTGGGTTTTCTAAAATTGCAATTTATATAGTATGGTTTTGTAACTCCTAATTTGAATAATTATAATGTTTTATTGGTAAACATGAATATACCAAATGAAATAACAAATAAGCATTTGGAGATCATGGAAATAAAAATGAAATCATATACTTAGTCAACTTACGTGATTACGTTAATATTCTTAGGTGATATTTTATATCTTCTTTATTTATAATGCTAATATTCTTAGGTAATTATGTTTTTTTTAATAGGAATTACTATACGTTAATATTCTTAATTAATATTTTGTTGCCTTCTATAAAAATAGAATCATATCAAGAATATGATTAGGTTGATAAAAGCATCCCTAATGTATAATTTTACCGATAGATTTTAGTGGTCAGGAGTATTTTCCATCCGTGTATATGCTTATTCTAGTAATATATACTTGTAATCTTTAAATACAAAAATATTTTCCTTCATTCTAACTTTCATCACGATGGCCTTGTATTAAACTTTTAAATAATAATTAGTGCATAATTGACCTATTGTAGTCTTATTTTATTCAAAAAATGGTGTGTAATACACTAGTACGAGCACTACGTAATGGGTCATTAGAGAACAAAAACTGGGTTTTGGTGGAGTTCACATGATGTAAGTAACTGTTTGTGTTTGGGGTTTATATTCTTTTGTGCTTGTGTGTTGGGGTTATATGAAAACAAAATTTAACATGATTTGGTTATAAAACTATCCTATATTAATTTAAAATATAACCACTTACATTTATTTTTTTTGGTTTTACGTGTTTTCATTATTCTTATTACTCCCTCCGTCCCCGAAAGAACGATTTATTTTACCTAATTTTAGTCCCAAAAAGAATGACTTATTAGCATTTAAATACCCATCACTTTACAATAATATTTGTGCAAAATTAGCTTCCCCATATAAAATTTGTTTTTCCATATACTTTTATTACTATTTTTCTCTACTTTTTTGTAAACCCCATGTAAATTTATCTTTCCAATATACTTTTACTTCTTTTTATTTAACTTTATTAATACCCGCGAAATTAACCCAAAAGAGTTGTTCTTTCGGGGACGGAGAAAGTAAAATTTATTTTAAAGTGCAATAGAGACCGTGTAAAATATAAGTGAGAATAATTACATACGTATTTGGTTTATGTATAGATTTTTTTAATGACATATCAACAATAATTCTAGGGAAGGACATTGTTAACTTTAACATTGAGGTAATTTTCTTTTGTAATACTTTTTTTTTTTCTCCAACTCCATATGTTTTGTAGACAAATTCTTTTATTTTCACACTTGTTAATGCATAACTTTAATTAAGCATTACTCTGCATTAGCTTAGTGTTAATATTTTTACTTTGTAATACAGTAGTAAATATTAATATTTTGAAAATATAATTGCAGAAAATGTAACAAGGTCTCACATGATTTTGAGTTATAATCCGCATTATTAGCTTAGTGTAAAAATTAAAGTGTTTTATTTTAAAAATTAAAGTAACGTCATAGCAGGTTTGCACAGGGTAAAACCTTCACTTCGGCTTATTTTTATCGAACTAAAAATATTTTTACTAAATTGAAGTTATTGTTAGGGATGTCAATGGGACGGGGCAAAGCGGATGTTGGTCTTCCCATCCCCATCCCCACCTAATATTTTCATCCCCATCCCCATCCCCATCCCCATCCCCATCCCCATCCCCGCGGCGGGTCCAATTTTCATCCCCATCCCCGCCCCACCCCCCCACTTGGATATTCATCCCCACCTAATCCCCACCAAAGACCCGCCTAATCCCCACCCAAGATCCACCTAATATCCGTATCTTAAATACACAATCTTACATAATTAATACGAATTATAAAATAAAACATTCTATACACATTTTTGTGTTATAATATAAGTGTCGTACAAAGTATTATAATTAATATTGTATTTCATGTAATTATTTTATAAATAGAATAAAAGTATGTAATTTTGCTTTAAAAGATACTACCTCCGTTAAAAATTTTAAATAAAACGGATGTTCAGTAAATTACTGAACATCCGTTATAAAGTGACAATAAAATGTGCAAAAGTTATACTAAAACGCACAAAAGTTACCCTGACATATATAAAAGTTATTTATGCTTCATTGATAAATTTGATAAAAGTGACACTAAATTTGACAAAAGTGACACTAAATCTGACAAAAGTGTACCCGATGTACAATAAATTACTGAAAATCGGGTGTATACAAAAGTTTTCCATTTATTATTTGCAACGATTTGACATAAAATAGAGAGGAAAAATGTCTAATCGTTGTAAATAATATATAACGGAGGTAGTATATAGATTGTGGGTATGAGGTGGGATGGGGCGGGTACGAAGTGGGGCGGGGCGGGAATGGGGCGGGTACAACTTAAAATCCACCCCCGCCCCATCACTCATGGCGGGTATGATTTTTATCCCCATCCCCGTCCCACCACCCGCCAAACCGAGACCCATCCCCGCCCCATTGGGGCGGAGATGGGGCGGGTCTCCTACTTGACCCGCCCCACTGACATCCTTAGTTATTGTTAAACTTAAATTATTTAAATTGAACTGAAATTATTATTATTGTACTAAATTAAAATTATTTTTACGGATTACTATTGTGTTTCAAAAAAACAAACAAGTCAAATGAATCAAAACCTAATAGTAGTAATACTGTTCTACGTAATTCATTGCCATTTGCCAAACATGACATTTTCTCTCACATTGCCATTTGGCATCACAAATTCTCAAGAACTCATCTTCCTCCAAATTTCCCACATTTTTCAGACCAATCTTTTGAGGTAAGTTACTAACTTCTTTACAATTAACCAAATTCCTTTCTTACTTTCATGATTTCATTCATATAATTCCATAATTAGCATGCTGATATCTTGTATTATGTCCACTTAAAGTAACTAATTTGGCAATTATTATCCAAAATTACGATACCCCAGCTTTTTTCCCAATGAATTATTGCTATCAATTATATATTTGGATTGATTTTGATGTATACATATGTTCTCTGAATTTTTAGTTTGATTATGTATGTATAAATTTAAATTATTGTATATGATGAGATTGGGAAGGGTACTGGGCAGCTAATGAGTTACAGTATTGTCCTTTGATCCCTCATGCTTTGTTTGGATAGCAAAGAAGGAAGGAAAAGAAGGGGAGGGAAAATGGAGGAAGGGAAGGGAAAAGAAAGGGAGGGGGAGGTGAGCTCCATTTTCCCTCCAAATCTCTCCAATTTTGGAGAGATTATGGTTATTAAAGAGAGAGGGAAAATTGATCCCTCCCTCTCCTTCCCCTTCCTTCCCCCAATCTTTTACCCAAACAAGAGATTTTGTCCCCCTCCATTTCTCTTCTCTTCTTTTCCTTCCATTTCTTCCTATCCAAACAAAGTGTCAGTCTCAGGTTCGAGTTTCGTAACCCCACTTCCCCCTCATGCATTTGATGCTAATATAAAGAGGGAGAGCCCAAATCATAATTTATTTTGTTAATTTCAATGTTAAGCATATTTTTCATACAAATTTGATTATTTGATCAATGTTTGCCAAAAATGGCTCATTGAGTCATTGTTATCTAAGATGCAAGTTGCTTGATTAGTTGATTATATGCTATGGTAGTAATGTAACCCTACATAGTTATTAAGCGACCGGAAGAGCTGAGTCGAAAGCGTGAGCTCTTACAATAAAGGCTCATATAGTGTATCTTAGTACAAATTTTCTAGGAATGCTATATAAGGGTAGTTAAACACGGCGAGGGAGGCACATATGATGCATCACTTCTCTTGTTGCCGTCATAATATGGATGGACACGCTAGTGCTTAGAGATGCAAGGATGGAGAACCTTGAGAGATTGTTGTATTGCATGATCGTTATAGTAGTCTTGTTTTCCTTAGGTTGCTCTTTGGTTTAAACATCTTGCTAAATGTGTCGTCGTCTCCATTGCTTATGCTTATTTACTTCATGTTTTCAACCTTCAAGTTTTGCTGTGTTGTTGAAAGTCTGTGATCTTGTAGAGTACTCCCTAACCAAGCGTGAGAAAAATGAATCTTCTCTCTCTAGGAGCTTTGATGGTGAATCATATTCTGCAATCCTTCCTGTTTTGGCCAAAACAAAAACAAACTTTCGTATTAATTATCTTGTTATTTTTAGCCTCAAAGAATTCAACAGTCTGATGACAAATAAATAGAAAAAAAAAAAAATACTACGTATATAAAAAAGGGAACTTAAAAAATACCATCACTGAGAACAAGGACTAGATCACTATCAACAACTGTGTGTATTCTGTGAGCTATTGTGACAATTGTTCGTTCTTGAAATTCCTGGTTAATAATCTTCTGAATTACTCCATCAGTAGCAGAATCAACTGATGCAGTTGCTTCGTCTAAAACCAAGACACTACTGTGCTTTAGCAGTGCCCTTCCTAAGCAGAACAATTGTCTTTGTCCAACACTCCAATTTTCACCATTTTCAACCACTATATATCATTTACAACAAGTTAGATTATCTAGTAAGAACAATCTTATTCCATATTTCTGAAAAAGTTTTATTTATTCACCTGTGGATTCCAGTCTTCCTTCCTTGGCCCGTACAAGGTCTCCTAGTTGGCATTTGTCTAATGCCTAATAGTTGCAAAGCAATGTATTACTGATTTGTTTTCATTTCTACCTAAGAAAAAAAAATGGTAAAGCAATCAATTAAATTACTTACCTCCCATATATCATTGTCAGAATGCTGTTGGAGTGGATCAAGGTTTATTCGAACTGTACCATCAAACATTGTTGGATCCTGTGGAATGATGCTGAGCCTTGATCTCAAGTCATGAAGACCTATCTTGCAGATATCTACATCATCAATTATAATGCTCCCCTCCTTTGGTTCCACAATGCGGAATAGAGCTTGTATAAGTGTTGATTTTCCACTGCCTGTCCTTCCTACCACACCAATCTTCTTCATCCCAGGTAATGTGCATGTTATTTTTTTCAGGACGGAGGGAAGATGTTCAGCATAGCGTATCTGCAGCATCATGAATTTGGGACTGACATTATTATCAGAGTAATTTGTTTTCTGCTTATTATTGTCATAAGAATTTCTGAACTGCAATAGTTGCTCCTTTTGTCTTACAAAGCTTGCATGATTGCTTTTGACTCACATATTAAGATTTGAGTATTGAAAATGGGGTAGAAACAAACAGAAGTATTTGAAAGTGTTGGCTTAAAGTTAGGGTGGGGAGAGAAAATAAAAAGTAAGATCAAGTGGATTGAGATATAAGTAGTACTCGCCTACTCATAGTAAGAAAAAGCAGATAGAGAGAAAATGCCATAGATGGAAAGTGCAATGCGTATTTTGGCCCCGTTTGGTTTAATGTAAAATATTTTCAATGGAAAATTAGTTTTCATGGAAAACATATTTTCAAGGAATAACACAATTGCAAATTAGTTTTCCTTTGTTTGGTTGCGTACAAGAAAAGTCCAAGAAAAATAAAAAATAAGAGTGGAAATGTAAGGATGAATGAGAGGGAAGTAAAAAAAGAGGTAAGGAGGAGAGAGGAAAATGTGGCTTCCCTTGTTTTTGGAAGGAAAATGTTTTCCATCATTAAGGATGAAATTTTCCACCCTTGAAAAATTGTTTTCCACTCCTTAACAAACCAAACAAAGGAAAATGGGAAAAAAAATGGAAAAATCATTTTCCATGAAAACCTTTTACATCAAACCAAACAGGGCCTTTGGGACATCCAATTTGAAACCATTCAAGTTTTTGTGGGGCAGAAGAAATTTAGAATTTCTGCTTCTTAATTAAACCTTCAGCAGCTTACCTGTAAATTCTGGAAAGTGATTGTTCCAGTAGTTGGCCAGTTGTTTGGTGGTCTGCAGTCGTCAATTATCATAGGTGCCTCACTATTAAGCTCTGTGTACTGAAGAACCCTTTCCACTGATATCATCTTATTTTCTGCATTGCATATATTCCATATGACTGAAGCTTGCAAAACATTCAAATTAATTCCATATGTCACTGCCAGACCTGCAATGCCTGCAAAAGATTCGATACACATTAGGTTTCTTCAATAATAATTGTAATTCATCCTATAGTAAAAGCTGTATAGGATGATAATATTTCCAACGAGCAATTGAAGTAGACCTTATTATTTATTAGTCAATTTCTGATATGTTATATTGCCATGCATTTAAAACAGTCTTAGCCACTAGACAATACAAATATTGTATTCATTCTAGTTTTACTCATCAGATCTAGAGAGCTTACTTGGATTTATAATTCCATCTGGAAGAGACACTAACAGAACCAATGAAAATGCAAACACGAAGTTAGATAATTGATTGAGTCTGAATGAAAGCCACTCCATTGCTGATACATTGTGAAACCATGGTCTTGAAAATCCATCTACTAATACAAGATTTGCATTGATAAATCGATCCTTTTGGTCAAATGCACGTATTGTTGCCGCCCCTGAAAGTGATTCTCCAAAATGATGTAGGATTGGAGCCTTCTGTATTTCAGATAATCGTGCTAGCTCCCTTGCAGTTGGTATGTAGTATTGCTGCATGGAATATCATTATATTCATGATTGTAATATTTTTCTCTTATTATCTTTGCAATGATCCTTAAGTAGGTTTCAAGTACAATTTGCTTACCTTATACCATATGCAGATTGCTGTTACTGGAATGAAGATGAGAAAGACCTCCCATGCGACCTGTGACATGACTGCAATGGTGCCGAGAAGCTGGATCATTGAGAAAGCTGCCCAGCCCAATCTTTGTGCCATTTCCAAGTCCAATACGCTTTGGTCAGATGATGCCTGTATATGTAGTAAGTGTTAAATTTAACATATGATTGCGTTTTTTTTTCTTTTTAATGTACAAATTCCCTTGATTGTTTTTATTATGTAAAAGCTGGAAAATTCTTTCCCTGAAACATAAATCCTTCTTACTTGCATTTCATACCACAAGGTGGCAATGGATTAAGTAAATTGCTTAATGCATTTAGAATTTAGAAAGTCTTTTATGCAGACATGAGTACTCTGATTAATATTCTTGATCTGACCGATAAATTAACATAAATCTCAGATGATTTGAGTGCCTTCTGTATTTCTGTTTGACAAAAGTGGGAGGTATGTTTCTGTTATGTAGATAGGGTTCATCCCTAGATATGTTTATGAAATTATGATTTATATTTAGCTGATTGTATTGCACATATAAAATTACTGCATTTTAAAGTATTTAAACTAACTCTTACCCGATTCAGTATTCTTCCAGTTGGAGTTGAATCAAAAAATGACATTGGAGCTCGTAATACACTGTGTAGCATATTCTCAAAGAGTTTTTGTGCAGTAGAAAGGCCGGCGTATGCTAATACGGATGCCCGTACTAAGACACAAATTGAGCTTATGATAGAAAGAATGGCATATACAAGTAAGACATAGTCCATCTCAGCTACAGGTGCTGCATCACCTGAAGTTGGACAAGCCCATGCCATCCAGTAATTACTTGCTATTTGTAACACTTGAAATGATGACTGGGCTAAAACTATCACCGGAACCAAAATACCACGTTTCACTATGGTAAGATAAGCCCAATATACTTCCTTCCCTATACTTCCTTTCTCTCTTTCTTCATCTTGTATCAACCTCCCTTCCTTCTCTTTCATTTCAGGAGAAAGTTTTTCCTCTTCTTCATCCCTTGTTTGAATTTGTTCAGCACTTGATTGGACATTTTGTGGTAAAGAAATTTTAGAAGTTCTACCAGAAGCACCTTCAACTTTAAGAACAGAATCTAGAGCTTGACTATGAGCTCCAACCAGAACTTCAAACCCAATATTCTGCTTCAAAAGTTCCTTAAAAGTCCCTGCTTCTGATATTTTTCCATCTTGCATAACCTGTTTATAAGAAGTTCCCTCATGAATTGATATATCTAGCTAGATAGTGCATAAAACATTGCTATGAATTTGTGATTACATACCAGAATGAGGTCTGCTGCCGGTAGAAATTCGACTTGGTGGGTCACATAAAAGATTGTCTTGTCACCGAGAACCTCCATCAGACATTCCTGTTTATTGGAAATCAGAACATTGTAAGAGAATGAACTATGTAAGACTCAGTTTAATTTGACATATATGTCTTACAAGTTACAAGTGCTTACTTGAAATAGTTGTGTGCCTGTATGTGCGTCAACTGCACTAAAAGGATCATCAAGCAGATATATATCTGCATCCTGGTATACTGCACGAGCAATTTGTATCCTTTGTTTCTGGCCTCCACTCATATTAATACCTCTTTCTCCAATCTCTGTTAAGTCACCTTGTGGGAAAAGTTCAAAATCTTTCAATAAAGCACATGCTTTAACTGTTCTATCATACTTTGCTGCATCATAAGGGCTCCCAAAGAGTATGTTCTCTTTAATATTTCCTGTCAGTATCCACGGGGTTTGAGGAACATAAGCTTTAGACCCGCTAATCTTCACAGTCCCGGAGATCTTAGGTATTTCTCCTATTAAGCCAGAAAGCAAACTGGATTTTCCTGATCCCACAGTTCCACATATTGCCACTTTCATTCCCCTTGTGACCTGCAAGTTTATGTTATCTAAGGTGGGAGTTTCTGAATTAGGATCCCAGCTGAGTTTTCCCCCTTCTATGTCTATGGCATAGGGTGTCTTATCTTTTGAAACAAACTTGACTGCATCTTGCTGAATTTCTTCTCCTTGGAGGTAAGAAGAAACCCTATCAGCCGATACTTTAGCTTGTGCTACAACGTTGAGTAAGTCTGGCAGACTAAATATGGGATCCTGCAACATACGGAAAGTTGCTAACGCAGATAATACACTACCTGCTGTGAGCGGAATTCCCATTAAAAGACAAGCTCCAAATGTTATTATAGAAATAAAGGTAGGTGAACCCCAGAAAATGAAGGCTCCAACAGCCCCTAGTCTCAATGACTTCCATATCCATGAAGACTCTATATTTCTTAAACTTTCTAACTTATGTCGAAACTGATTGTCCCATGCCTGAAGTTTTATCGACTTCATGTTACGCAGGATTTCTGAGGTGGCTTTCATCCGAGCATCTTTAGCATCCATGATCTTTGACTGGTATTTTTTCTGCGTTCTTGTTAAAGGTATATTGCAAGACATAACAACTAAAGTGGCAGCTAATCCTGCAAGTGACCCCAAACCTAGACTCGTATGCAGAACATAGATTGCTAATGATATTTGTACCGGTAACATCCATAGTGTATTTACATACCATACAAAATCTGAGATTCTTTGAACATCTACACTCATGTAGTTCATTATCTCTCCACTGGTGTGACTCTGTCTTGCTTGACATGACAACATTAAGCCCTTTTGGTATATCTGAGATATCATAGCAGCTCTGAGGCGGAGCCCTAATTGACGAGCCCCAAAGATCCATTGCCTTTGTGCAATTGTTTCAACCACTTTGGCCCCTAGAAATCCAAGAGCAAGGAGGTAGCCAGTTTTTAGGCTGCTGTGTTTCTTTTCACTGAGGAAAACCACAAAATCGTTGATTAGATACGGACCAACATATGAAGCAAATGCACTTATTACTGCAAACAAGGCATTTACAGCTGCTTTTTTCCATGCTAATTGGAAAATTGCCTTATACACTGATGTGCTATTCGTGATTCCTTCTTCCTCTTTGGCTTGTTTTAGGTTTTCATTGAAGCACTGAGAGAGAAAGGCAGCAGAGTCTTTCACATCAACCTCTGGGATCTCATCCTGCTCAAGTGGCTTTTTTTTTCCAATGACAAACAGTGGATTCAGCCATGAGAAGGTAACAAGATCCAGAAGAGTAGCTTTGCTGTAAAGTGACTCGACTTTTCCTTTAAATTTTTTTCCAGTTTCTCCATTGAGAAGTGGTTCAGTCAAATTGCTTCTTGCACTGTCATGCGCTATTTTCATCTTCCCTTGAATGGAAATTACCAACAGGCTGACTGATGCAAAAAAACCAAGAAAATCTGCATACTCTTGAATCCTAAGCTGCCCATGATTGTCCATTACAAAATTAAAAGCAACAGCAACATGACAAGCTGTGATCAAGAAGCTGCAAACCCACCAGAATCTTAGAATTCCGGGGAAAATGAGGTAATTCTTGGTTAAAGTCCTGCACAATACAATTATCGTGATTATCCATGATATAACCTGCAAAATTTCAGCTGCGAGAGCAGGAACATAGTGATCGCACGAAATCTTGTTTCCTTTTACCAGCAGGCATAAAGAAGTCAAGTGCACACTCAAAAGCAAAGTGGAAGAAACAATGCTAACTTTTGAGCAAAGGCTTAATCTTGCATTATCAGGGTACATTTCTGCATCTTTTTCTGTTGCTTTTGTAGTGAACATGTGTACTGCATATGCCATTTTTCTGATGAAGTATAGCAGTAGAATCCCATAGAACCCCAGCAGCAAAAATGTGCTGATCTCTTCCCACAAGCAGGGGGACTTTAGCTGTTCCCATGCTGTTGGTTTCAATAGCTTTATATCTGCCATACGAAAACGATTCAATGATTATACTTGAAATATATAGTTTAAGCTATATCAATAGACTGATCATGAGTTCTCAAATTGACTACTATATACAGAGCACGTTATGGCATCGACTTTTTGTACAATGCTATAATACTCCCTCCGTTCCATACTATACTTGTTTATTCAACCTTGTCTGTCATCTAACATATTTGTACACTATTATTTGTTAATTTCGATGCCAATTTAATGGTATGGATGAAAATAGTTTCTAGGCCGAACATTAATCTGCAAGTCCTAACTCAACAACACTTTCAACCCCGATGAAACCACAAGCTTAGCATCTATTGTGTATAAGATGAATTTATCACCTCATCTCCAAGAAATTTTTTGTTTCAACTGTTAATTAAACAGGCAATATAGCCATAACTTTGTCACCAACAACAAAGCCTTGGAATGACTACCTCTGTCCAGAACTAGTAGTCGATATGGTTAGTAGTTCAGTTAACACTATCAACGTGACAATTGATTGCAGACCGAAGGAATTGTAAGACATCTTTTTCGGAGTCTTGCCATGTTGAAAATTGTAAGATATAGCCTACGGCTCAAGAAGTGATTAAAGTGTTCATAAAAGATAGTAATAAAGATGGCAAGATATGCTTTTTTGTATGCAACTTGATTACTGATAATAGAATAAACTGTTGCTACTTTATATTGTCCTATTGTAGAGCCACTTTTAGTAGGAAAGCTTATCAATTTTTTATAGTGTGTCATAAATTATCAATTAATGTTGATAAAAAGTATTGCTTTTGTTCTTCTTAGTTATGTTTGTCCCTTCTTTTCCATAATATTTACCCGAAATACTCCTAGATTACTACAAAATGATCAACTTTTGCTTATTTCAGGCTACCAAAACATGTTACTTATTGCTGTTTTAGATGAATGATCTTACTCCATGACTCCCATCACATAGCGCGAAGTCAAGAATATGAAGAGCAATACTCCCAAGTCCCAACTTCTAACAATGCTGCAAGAGATGAAGTTTCAACCTAATTGTATATCCATCCATATACATATCATAATGCAGTTTTCAGGCCTTATTCATGGTCTTTATTTCTATTTTAGCTTCATAATCGGCGTGTTAAACCTTACTTAAAAGTTAAAACCATTAAACACGAAACAAATAGCATTAACCCAGCTAAGTCAGGTCGACCATTGTGTATAATGATTTGGTAATGTAAAGTACAACGACGCCCTCTTAAAGGGTGCTTAAATACAACCTCCCGGCCTTGCCATAACATAATCATAGGAAACAATATAACAATATATTGCATTTAGCCAAACTACCAAAAACACAACATAAAAGAACAATAAACATAGTTAAAGAGAACTTACTTGCTACAAGAAAAGAATAGGGCATGATTATACCCCTCCAATTTTCTGCCCTTTTTTTGTATGTTTGTTGAAAATACTTGTATGTGAATAAATAGTCCAAATACAAAGGACTACAAAGAAGCTCAAAAGCATAGTATTGTAGGCAATATATAATAGTGGAGAAAAACAGAGAAATCTATCTGATCAAGTGGGACCCACATATATATAATAAAGTAATTGATGGGTGTTAAACTGGTAATTGATAATTAGTGAGTAATCAACTTTTTGTTGGGTTTAATTAGAGAACCAAAACTGGGTTTTGAAGAAATTCACGTGATGCAAGTAAGGTTAAGATTGCAGGGGATTGATTCTTTTTTGGATTTTAGGGCATTTTTGTTTGTGTTTGTGGTTTAAAGAAAATCTAAAATGTTTATGAAATTATTATTATTATTATTATTATTATTATTATTATTATTATTATTATTATTATTATTATTATTATTATTATTATTATTATTATTTTTCCCCCTTCTTAGAGATTATAATTGAGAGAGAAAAGGCTAGAAATTGTGAATTTAGGGTAAGCCTCAACAACCCCTAGTATTTTGGCTGTGTTGTTGATTTTTTGGGGTTTTTGACGCGTTCTAAATGATGGGGCTTTAAAAAGAAGAGAAAATAACAAATTGCAATGGGATTATGTCAATTGTATAAAAGTGAAAGAAAAAAAAAATGTATAAAAGTGTGAATAAATAATTAAGCCCTTGTTTGGTTCATGTGAGAAGTACTCCCTTTTCATGGAAATTTATATTTTTTCCATTATCATTTTCCTAGGAAATTCAACTCACTAAGGAGGAAGTTGGTAAGTAAATTCCCATAATTATTGGGGATTTGCATTTCCTTTATAATTGCTAAATCCCATGCTTATCTGATTTCCCTCCAATCAAACACAACTCCATATTAATACAGAGTACTCCGTACTTCCCAGGAAATTTTATTTCAAAGGAAATTGACTTCCAACCAAACAAAACCTCAGAATATACAAATAGTATTCCAACGGCCATAAAATTAGCGATTATATTGGCTTCCTAAAGTGGTGAGGTATTGAAAAGCCACTGAACCTTCTTTCTTAAAAAAAAAAAAAAAAAAAAAAAAAAAAAAAAAAAAAAAAAAGAAATGGTTGAACCTTTAATGATCTAACACACGATAATATATGATTTTTTTAATTTTCCTTGAGACAATTCAATACGTTTGAATTAAGGAGTATATTTGTGCTAACAACATAAAAATAGCTAGATTACCCCAATATCATTAAGGAATTTATTTTTTGCATCAAAAAAAATTAATTAAGGAATTTATCTTTGAACTTTCAAACTTTTCCAATGTTTTGGTCATAAATTTACTTGTTTTTTTAAATGCTCTAAGCATTTACCTTTAGCATGTATCATGACTTGCCCTCTTAAGCTCTTTAAAAAAAATCGAGGTTGCCCTTTTGGAATATCAAGAACCATTGATTTTTTAAAAGGTTAATGACTTGTAAAAAACTTGAACTTGCATCTTGGTTTGTTATCAAATTCGGGAAATGGGGTATAATTTTAAGAGTTATGGCTTTATGGGTGTCTATTTAGATTGCGTGATACAAATTTTAACTATAAACCATTTTAATTACTTTATGTTCGCTAATTTTAGAAAAAAATAAACTACAATGTAAAGTAATAAAATAAGTTTAATTTACAACTTAAATAAATTTGAACAAATTATATGACTTCACATGTACCAGTAGTTATTTAAGTGAAAATTAAAAAAAAAAAAAAAGAACATGCATTATTTTGTAGAGCTGTCAAAAGTTGATCTGATCCGAAATACCGACTCAAATCCGATTATTAGCTAAACCATCTGAACCTGAAAAAATGGTGACCCAAACCCAACCTAACCCGACCTGAAATCAAACCTAGACCCGAGTTGACCCGAGTATGTGAGACCCAAACCCGAACATGAACTAACCTGGAGATGACCCGACCCGAATGTAACCCATAAATTATTGACCTGAATCGAACCTGACTTGAACCGAAATTGACCCAAACCGTTTTAACCCGTCAAAACCCGAATTTAACCCAACTTGTTACTAACCTGACCTGAATTCAACCCGACCCGTTCTTAACCCGGCCCGAATTTAACCCAACCTGTTACAAACCCGACCCAAAATCAACCCGACTTGAAATTAACCTGACCCAAATTCAACCCGACTTGTTATTGACCCGACCCGAATTTTACCAGAACTATTGCTAACCTGACCAAAAAATTATACCCGATCTATTACTAACTCGACTCGAAATCAACATGACTTGTTATTGACCCGGCCTAAATTCAACCCAAATTGTTCCTGACCCGATTTCAAATCACCTTAACTGCAATTTAGACCACCTTATTATTGTTGATCAAATCATTTTGTTTAGGGAGACCAAGTCGGTCCAGGCCAGCAAAAGAAAGGAGCATCATCCTCAAATTTAAGAATTAAATATAGTAATATATTTGTTGTATAGTCAAAGGAGATAATTATCTTCCTAAATTATAGACTATAGACCATAGTTCCCTAGTATATTGTCACATATATTATAGTCAAAGGAAATAATTAGCTTGACAAAAATGATAATTATCTATTTATAGTTAGTTGAACCCGAATATGATCTAACTTGGAAATGACCCGACCTGATTGTAACCTGCAAATTATTGACTTGAACATAACCCGACTTGAATCTGAGAATGACCAACTTGAAAATGACCCAACCTGATTATAACCCGCAAATTATTGATTTGAACTGAACCCGACTTGAACCCGAGACTAACCCGACTTGAAAATGACCCGATTGACCCGAGAATTACCCTAACCCGTTTTAACCCGTGAAAACCCGAATTAAACCCGACCTATTGTTCACCCGACCCGAATGTAACCCGATCCAAACCCGATAAGAAGCGTGACCCGACTCAAGCATGACCCAACCCAAACCCGACCCGCATAGTTTATGGAATTAATCCGAATTGACCCGACCCACTCTTATCGACCTAAACCCGACCCGTTTACCCGAATTAAAAGTTATACCCGAAACCTCCGAAATTTCTCAAAAAGCGTGGATATTAGCCTTTAATTTTGGAATTTTTTGACTTTTTTTCACCCGTAAATAAAAATTTTCGAAATGTTTACCATGGTCCCTAATACCCTCCGTGAGTCCAATCGGATGGGTGGAACCATCCAATTTGTCTTTAAACGACCAGTTTACAACTTGGACCTATTTCATTAACTCAAGCCTACCACGAACATTTATGATAACATATAATGATCATTTATGGTTCCAAACGGCATTATATGACCCCGAGATGTATCCCCTAAAATCTCAATGTTTTTTGATACCGGCCCCGAAACAATCGAAATTTCTCAAAAAGCGTGGATATTAACCTTCAATTTTGGAATTTTTTTACTTTTTTTTCGCCCGGATATAAAAATTGACGAAATGTTTACCATGGTCCCTAATATCCTCCGGGAGTCCAATTGGATGGGTGAAACCATCCAATTTGCCTTCAAACGACCAATTTACCGGTTTACAACTTGCATCGATTTCATTAATTCAAGCCTACCACGAACATTTATGACAACAAATAATGATCATATATGGTTCCAAACGACATTATATGACCCATAGATGTATTCTCTAGAATTTCAAGACTTTTCGAATCCGGGTCCCGAAGACTCCAAATATTTTCAAAAAGCGTGGATAAATTTTGAATTTTTTGACTTTTTTCGCCCGTATATAAAAATTGTCAAAATGTTTACCATGGTCTCCCATATCCTCCGAGATTCCAATTGGGTGGGTGGAACCATCCAATTTGCCTTTAAACGGCCAATTTACCGGTTTACAACTTGCGCCAATTTCATTAACTCAAGCCTACCACAAACATTTATGACAACATATAATGATCATATATGGTTCCAAACGACATTATATGACTTCGAGATGTATCCCAAAAATATCAAGGCTTTCGACAACAGCCCCCGAAACCTCCAAAATTTCTCAAAAAGCGTGGATTTTAGCCTTCGATTTTGGAATTTTTCGACTTTTTTCACTCGTGAATAAAAATTGACAAAATGTTTATTATGGTCCCTGATACCCTTCGGGGGTCCAATTGGGTGGGGGTGGAATCATCTAATTTGCCTTTAAACAACCAATTTACCGGTTTACATCTTGCACCGATTTAATTAACTCAAGCTTACCACGAACATTTATGACAACATATAATGATCATATATGGTTCCAAACGGCATAATATTACCCCGGGATTTATCCCCTAATATCTCAACCCTTTTCGACATCGCGCCTCGAAACCTTCAAAAATTTTCAAAAAGCGTAAATATTAGCCTTCAATTTTGGAATTTTTTGACTTTTTTTCGACCGTAAATAAAAATTGTTAAAAGGTTTACCCTGGTCCCTAATACCCTCCGAGAGTTCAATTGGATGGGTGGAACCATCCAATTTGCCTTTAAACAACCAATTTACCGTTTTACAACTTGTATTGATTTCATTAACTCAAACCTAACTATGACAACATATAATGATCATATATGGTTCCAATCAACATTATATAATCCTGAGATGTATTCCCTAAAATCTCAAGTATTTTCGACATCGGGCCTCGAAACCTCCAAAATTTCTCAAAAAACGTGTACATTAGCCTTAAATTTTGGAATTTTTTGA